CTTGAGGTATATTCGCCCGTTGTTGGTCCAAATATATTTCCACTTGTTGTCCTTCTTAAACTTGTTAATGCTGCCAAACAATTTCTTTCTTGCTTGTGTTAGCGACTCGGAGATATATAATTTCTTCTTTGGGTCTTGAGAAAGATCCCGCAGAGTGCTTACTTTACCAACTTCTTTGCCGGCGATTGTTTTCCAACGGCTTGGAAACCAAAATTTGATAACATTTTGTTTTGAATAAGGGTATGGGCATGATTTTCAGTTGAACATGCCTAGCGAGCGTAAAAATCGCATCCAGTCTGAGGATTAATGAGAGAGGGAAAATTTTATATATTTAGGCATGACAAAATTTAAGGGAACATTGGTACTTAGAAATAACATCTCATAGGCATGGAAAAAATGGGTTCATGCCCTCGCAGCCCAAAATTGACCCAGCCAACCTTAGGTCCCAGATCTCTCGCCGGGTTGATCATTCATTCCCAGTTTTTGCTCCTCTGGTTTGGCATGCCGGGCATGCCGATGGTGAAGCCACTTGGTTTGGCATGCCCGGCATGCCAGGCAAGAAATTGGCATGCCCAGCGAGACTGATTTTGATGTTCGCTTCAGCATCATATCCTGAGAATCACATATAATCGCCAAATATATCTTAGGGAGCTTGAAGTTACAGGTTTCATGCCTGGCAATAAATGCAGATTATAACAAAAAAAAAGTCATGTTTGTCACAATGTGTGTCACGGGATCGACTGGCCAAACTGAAGACAGAAGCCTGGATTTATAAATAAAAAGCACAACAAAACAATGTTGTTCATGCATAGAATGCACTGTAATTTTCAGGGAGTTATAATAACTCCTCTAGTGGGGCTAATTTAACTCCTTACAGTGGAGTTATTTTTCGTGGAGTTATTTTAACTCCAAAAAGGAGTTTAAAGAACTCTTTTTCAGGAGTAAAAGTGACCCCAGATATTGAGGAGTTAAAATAACCCCAAAAAAGGAGTTATCCTGTACCTAAAATTTTTACTCCACTTTCAGAGTTAAATTAACTCCAAAAAGAGTAAAAACAACCCCTGTAAGGAGTACAAGTAACCCCATTTCGGAGTAATTTTAACTCCAAGACTGGGAGTAAAAAGAACTCTTTTTCAAGAGTAAAAATGACCCCAAATTCGGAGTTAAATTAGGAGTTAAAATAACCCCCAAAAAGGGGTTATCCTGTACCTAAAATTTTTACTCCATTTTTGGAGTTATAATAACTCCCTAAAAATTACGGTGTGGAATACTTAACTTGCAATCAAAGATCAATCCTTTTATTTCAAACCGATACTGAACATTTCTGGGACCAGATTTAAATTTGATCGGGGAAAAGCGTCTTAAACAATAAGATAACAAATCTTCTCAGTATGAACTTATCCATGCCTAAGTTTTATGGCGTCGGAATGTTTCCCGGCCAAGAGCATTAAAAGACTGGTGAAAATTAAGCTTACCAGGTCGTTCAAGTCAGTACGAGAGTACGACGTTAATACTGCAAAGACGTTCTGATTTGGTGAATTTGGACTGCCTTCTCAGAGAGATTTTGCTTAGTTTTTCAGTGCGCTCCTTGTCGGCTATGCGAATCTCGCAAACTGTTTTACTCCTTGCTGACGATAGTCCTTTGAGCAACGTCATCTGCGTCATCCGAAGATACCCCGAGCACGCACGAAATCGGCCGAATTTCCGCAGAAGTGTTTTCGGATGACGATGAATCTAGTTTGTTGTAGCGTGGCAGTTGTGGCGTCACGATGTCGTCATGTCTCTTCGCACTTGTTTGTCTTTTTTTTCTGCGGTGCATGGTTGAGATGTTGGTGAATGCTGAACAAGAAATGGATTCTGCGAGAGACTGTAAGTACAAATTTAGTATTAATTTGGTAAAGAAAAAGCCTGAATATTGAACAAATCCCGTGAATTAGCCTTTAGGCATTCAGTTTATCTTGCTGTTGAGCATGCCTAAGAACTCGGGCATAAGTGGTTGTCATCTCGTTCACTTCGATTGTTTCTGTTTGTATGTCTTGTAATCTTCTTCTGCTTGTAAGAAGACTAGAGAAAACTTCAATAATAAGAAACCAAAGCTAAAAAAAGTCAGATCTAATTTTATAGCTCGAGTATAATTATTTTTGGCACCTACGGTCATATTTTTTTCACTGTACTGGTAAAGTTACTTATTTTTGCTGCATAGTTTGACGGTTGTTTGAAAGACAATCAAACGGATATTACAATCACTTTTGGAGACAAAATAAAATATCCGTAAATCAAATGCCAAAATCAGATTTGGATTTCGCTTTAAAAAAGTTGTAAACAACTCAATATAAGCAGTCTGTGAATGTGCGTTTAGGTCCACAAAACTAATTTTTCTTTTGGACATCTCATCCAAGCAAAGACTTAAGGCTTACATTGCTTGTCTACGAGTGTACTACAAAATGCTTTGCTACAGTAAGCCTCTGAGAGGCGATTCTGGTAAATTTATAGGACGCTAAAATGCAAATAATTCTAAGCTTAAACAACCTGGCTGGGTCCGACTTTTGAATTACAAAATGTTCACGTTTGCCGGCTCTACTTTCAATGAACATGGTTTTTGAAATGATTTTGTACTATTTTATGATTAAATTATGATTGGGTTATAAAGCTTTTAAAACGGACGAAAACTAAGCTAATAAACATGTTCAATGTAAAAAACTAAGATTTAGTCGCTTTTTCAACTTTGCTTTGTGGGCCGAAAAATTTACCTTTACGCAAAAACAAAAGCAAACAATGAGGCTTTTATTCGACATATTTTCTGAGAATTTTATCTGATCAATTTAATGTCACTAGCATTATTTTCGTATAGGAATTTTCCTAATTATATGAGCTTTTAATTTAATAATTTTGATACTCTATAAACTTCTCATTTGATAGCCTCACTTTTTTATACACCGATTGAGAAACAAATTCGCACTCGTTAAATCCTATTTTATGACCTATTTATTAGAACACTAGGTAACATACGAAATGATGTAACCGGACAGGCTTTAACCTTTAGTCCTGATATATTTTTTCTTCGCAACCCCTAATCAGTTGACGGGCCGTGAGAGAATATCGCCACAAAAAGATGCGAAAAAGTTTTCGCTGAGTTTCCTTTACATATTCCGGCTTTATATGGGTCTACACCTTACCTGCTTAAAAATGAACTGTTGTTCAATTAAGTGTCAGTCAAACTCGTTATAATCTTGACTTGCAAATCCAAATGCAAAGGTTTATTTCGCAGCAGAAAAGCGTGTAAACATCATCGAACAGCGCAATGTAAATTGGCTAATGTGAATCCACGTTTCTTTCACTTTATTTACCATGCATTTATCTCAATTGCACACTCTTGTGAAATTAGCCTCAGACAATTAGTTGCGACCTTTAACAGACTCAACAAACCAGTATGAAAATATGTTAAGAGAAGCTGAGTCTACATGTTCTATTTCTTTTTTTCATATTGCCCTTGCATGTGTTAACGTTCCATTTCTTTTTTGTTACAGGTAACTTCCAGACATGACGAGGAGATAATTACTTTTCTAGAGAGCAATTCTTTGATACTGTCAGTTCATTACTGACTTACTTTGAGTTAAAAACAAAGAACACAGACACTGGTAATGACACAAAAACATTAATCCCTGGCAAGCCTACAAAACAAGAAAGAGGAACTCAGACTTTCTAACAGCTTTTCTAACGTAGGGAAAATTGCGTTAGAGAGATTTGTAATTGCAACGTTATATTCAAGCACATTGCATTGTCAAACATCATAATTTACTGAATAATGAACAGTGATTTTGGGGCTTAGCTCAGTTTGTAATGAACTTTGAAAGATATTCTATAACCTTGTATTTTTAAAAGCTTTCATGGAACATAGATGCATTTTATTATACAATGAAAATAGTCTCTGTCTCTAATTTTACTGATTTCAGTCAATTCCATTTTATTCGCAATGTGAAATGGGAATCCTATTAAAGACTCATTAAAAGGGGTGAGGAGTTTTTACAATCCCCCAACAGGTCATCTCCACGATGACGCTGTTTTATTACTACCAACGAATCCCTCAGGGTTTTACTTGCTTGTGAGAATTAGAGCTTTTGTTATTTAAAGTTCTCTGGGACAACCAAATCTATGAAAATGAAAGGAATAGCAATGACGTCATTGTGTAACCGTACATCAAAAGATAAGCACTGTGATCTGTTTAGTTTTTTTTTTGTTTTTAGCCAGGCTTAAAATATCGGTAGATTCAAGGAATTATAACCTGTGCGTTGAGAGCATGCCAGAGACCAATTTTGGCATGCCCGGCATGACCCAGATTATGGCACGCCCGGCATTCCAGAGAATTTAGCATGCCGGGCATGTCAGAAAATTTGGCATGCCCGGCATGCCGGAGATTTTGCTGGGTATGAATTACTTATTACTAGAACCTAGGCTTCTCGCGGCCTGGGTGAGAAGGTCACAGAACCTCAAATTATGCTTACAGGGCATGCGAAATTCTGTTGCATGCCAATTTCAATGCAAAACCACTCTGGGGCCACCCCCTCTATTACCAGTGAGCAAATCATTGACGATAGGCATGCGAAAAATCCTTGCATGCTAACCAACAATGAAAACATTGCAGAAATGTCCTCAATTGCTGAGTCATGCCCTAGGGGAGGCTTTAAAATACAGAATTTCCTGACATGGATGAGGGAATTTTCCGTAAACAGCATGTGATCATGCCGGCTAGGACGTATTGCCTCCGTATTGCCCCTTTTTACAGCTAGCTAGGCTCATTTTTAGGTTCCATGGCCTGAAATGACGAAAAATTCATGCCCTAAATGTAAAAAGTCCAAAAACGTCCTCGAAATTTTAGTTTCCAAGCCGTTTTTCCTCTTTCCGTAAAACTCGTCCCGAATACTGCGACGCGTAAACTTGACGATAATCTTGTCTTCTGCGCTTTTATTGTAAGTGGGTAAACGGTGGGCCGTGGAGATGTCTTAATCTTGCAGCTCGATACCCATTTCCTTCCCAATAGAACAAACAAGGTCAAAACAAGATACTTCTTCAGTTTGTAAAACGCCTGTCAGCTCCAAGCAGTCGCGGCGCAAGTATTGAGAAAGGTCTTCAATTTCGCGCCCTATTTTCTTGCACTGCTTCATATCTTCCTTTAAGTTCTTGACATCAGTGGAAAGGCTTGCTGTTCTATCATTTGAGCGCTGTACTTGCTTCAAGAGCTCATCATACTTTGCGGAGAAGTGTTTGACCGACTTTTCCAATTCAGAGAATGACTTTTCAATCGAGGTTAATTTAGCTTTTAGAGGTCCAATTTCGGCCTCCAAGAGTGACTTAATTTCATCTTTAGTTGCCATCAAAGCAATACAATTGCAGATGCCTGCACTTAACAATGGTAGCCGAAAATTTGGCCAACGTTAAAAAACACGTGCGGCCGCCATTGCGCCATATGCAAATAAAATAATATAAAGATTTAGTTATTCTCGGTTTATATCTTATTTCACTTTATCATATGGTACCATACTTTTTGCGAAAAATTACATAAGCCATAAAATGAAACCACAAAATATTAAATACTTTTTTTCAGGGAGAGCTGAAATACCCAAGATATCAAAATTGTCTCCGAGAACTGAAAAAAAAATTTTCAACCTGCCACAACTATCATATCAGCCTGCTCATTTTTTGTTAACGCGGCGGAGAAAAGACAAGAAGCGGAAGACTCCTACGTCAACAAAAAAGATCTCCAGAACGCCATGAACTACATTGAAATACTCCTCAAAATTGTCAGAGAAGTAGGAGACAGGGCAATAGAGGCAACAATCTGTTGTAATCTTGGAAACGCCTACGACGGTCTTGGAGATTCCCAGAAAGCCATTGAATACCATGACCGACACCTTAAAATTTCGAAAGAAGTGGGAGACAGGGCAGGAGAGGGAAGAGCGTACGGTAATCTTGGCAACGCGTATAGTAATCTTGGAGAGTTTCAGAGAGCCATAGAGTACCAAGAACGAGACCTCAAAATTTCGAAAGAAGTGGGAGACAGGGCAGGGGAGGGAATAGCATACTGTAATCTTGGCAACACCTATCTCAGACTTGGAGATTTCCAGAAAGCCATTGAATACCATGATCGACACCTTAAAATTTCGAAAGAAGTGGGAGACAGGGCAGGAGAGGGAAGAGCGTACGGTAATCTTGGCAACGCGTATAGTAATCTTGGAGAGTTTCAGAGAGCCATAGAGTACCAAGAACCAGACCTCAAAATTTCGAAAGAAGTGGGAGACAGGGCAGGAGAGGGAGTAGCATACTGTAATCTTGGCAACACCTATCTCAGACTTAGAGATTTCCAGAAAGCCATTGAATACCATGATCGACACCTTAAAATTTCGAAAGAAGCGGGAGACAGGGCAGGAGAGGGAAGAGCGTACGGTAATCTTGGCAACGCTTATCACAGTCTTGGAGATTTCCGGAAAACCATAGAGTACCATGAGCGAGACCTCAAAATTTCGAAAGAAATGGGAGACAGGGCAGGAGAAGGGAGAGCGTACTGTAATCTTGGCAACGCCTATAGCGGTGTTGGAGATTTCCAGAAAGCTATAGAGCACCATCAACGAGACCTCAAAATCTCGAAAGAAATGGGAAACAGGGCAGGAGAGGGAAGAACGTAGGGTAATCTTGGCAACGCCTATAACAGGATTGGAGATTTCCGGAAAGCCATCGAGTACCATGAACGTCACCTCAAAATTTCGAAACAAGTGGGAGACAGGGCAGTAGAAGGAAGCGCGTACGGTAATCTTGGCAACGACTATAACGGTCTTGGAGATTTCCGGAAAGCCATGGAGTACCATAAACGAAACCTCAAAATTTCGAAAGAACTGGGAGACAGGGCAGGAGAGGGAAAAGCGTACGGTAATCTTGGCGTCGCCTATAACAGTCTTGGAGATTTCCGGAAAGCCATAGAGTACCATGAACGAAACCTCAACACTTCCAAACAGGTGGGAGACAGAGCAGGAGAAGGAAGAGCGTACGGTAATCTTGGCAACGCCTATAACTGTGTTGGAGATTTTCGGAAAGCCCTAGAGTACCATGAACAACACCTCAAGCTTTCGAAAGAATTGGTGGACAGGGCAGGAGAAGGAAAAGCGTACTGTAATCTTGGCAACGCCTATCACAGTCTAGCAGATTTCCGGAAAGCCATAGGGTACCATGATCGACACCTTAAAATTTCGAAAGAACTGGGAGACAGGGCAGGGGAAGCAGGAGCGTACGGTAATCTTGGCAACGCGTATAGAAATACTGGGAATTTTCAGAAAGCCATAGAGTATCATGAACTACACCTTGATATTTCGAAAGAACTGGGAGACAGGGCAGGAGAAGGAAGAGCGTACGGTAGTCTTGGCAACGCCTATTACAGTCTTGGAGACTTCCAGAAAGCCATAGAGTACCAAGAACGACATCTCAAAATTTCAAAAGAAGTGGGAGACAGGGCAGGAGAAGGAACAGCGTACTGTAATCTTGGCAACGCCTATTACAGTCTTGGAGGTTTCCAGAAAGCCATAGAGTACCATGAACGACATCTCAAAATTTCAAAAGAAGTGGGAGACAGGGCAGGAGAAGGAAAAGCGTACGGTAATCTTGGCAACGCCTATTGTAGTCTTGGAGATTTCCAAAAAGCTGTAGATTACCATGAACGAGACCTAAAATGGTCGAAAGAACTGGGAGACAAGGCAGGAGAAGGAGCAACGTACCGTAATCTTGGTAACGCCTATTACAGTCTTGGAGATTTTCAGAAAGCCATAGAGTACAATGAACGAAGCCTCAAAATTTCAAAAGAACTGGGACACAGGGCAGGAGAGGGAGGAGCGTACGGTAACCTTGGCAACGCCTATCACAGTCTTGGAGATTTCCAGAAAGCCATAGAGTACCATGAACAACATTTCAAAATTTCGAAAGAATTGGGAGATAGGGCAGGAGAAGGAGTAGCGTACTGTAATCTTGGCAACGTATATAACAGTCTTGGAGATTTTCAGAAAGCCATAGAGTACCAGGAACGAAACCTCAAAATTTCGACAGAGGTAGGAGACAAGGCAGGAGAAGGAAAAGCGTACCTCAATCTTGGCAATGCTCACAAACGTCTTGGAGATTTCCAAAATGCCATTCACTATTATAAGAACGGTGTTATAGCGTTTGATCATATCAGGAGAAAGCTTACAGCTAATGACGAATGGAAGATTAGCCTAAGGAATACGTATGATCGTGGTTATTCGACGCTATGGGGGCTGCAGTTTATGCAAGGTGAAGTCGTCGAGGCACTTTTAACTGCTGATCATGGACGTGCACAAGCTTTAAACGATCTTCTGGAGTTCAAGTATGGGTTTAAAGGGATACTTCCAGATATAGGAACGCTATCTGTATCGACTCCTGACATTCTTAGTTACCTACCATCAAATACAGCTTTCATAGGTATCAACGAGGGAGGAATAGTTCTTTGGGTGAACGAGAAAGGAAACGAAATCAAAACTAGAAGAACTGAGATCGATAACCCCGTTACAACCTATTTTCAGTCTCTACTGGAGACTGCACATGAAGAAATAGATGTGAGAGCTCATCTTAACTGTGAAGATCGCTCAATGAGTAACCCAAGCGATAAAACGTTAGCAGAAGAAAGATCCAGTAAGCCAAGGTCTCATTCCTCAGATTTTCAGACAAAGTCATTACAAACATTGTACAATGTTGTTATAGACCCTATAAGAGACTTACTCGACGGCGATGAAGTTGTGATTGTTCCACAAGGACCTCTGTGTTTGGCCCCTTATGCTGCTTTCATGGACTTGAAATCTAAATACCTCGGCGAAACGTTTAGAATTCGTCTGCTACCCTCGCTTTCTAGCCTGCAATTGATCCAAAATTGTCCAGCAGACTGGCACCACAAGACTGGCGCCCTTCTCGTCGGCGATCCGTGGGTAAAGGAGGTAATTTATGAAGGAACGACGCTAGAGCAGTTACAGTGGGCCAAAAAAGAGGTGCAGATGATTGGGGAAATACTTCAAACGGAACCTCTCGTTGGAAAGCAGGCAACAAAAGATGAAGTTTTGAGACGTATCTCCTCGGTTTCGTTGGTGCACATTGCTGCTCACGGTAAAATGGAAACAGGAGAAATTGCCTTGGCCCCAAACACAACACGTTCATCCCCGATTCCAGACAAGGAGGACTATCTCTTAACTATGAAAGATGTTTTAAAGGCGCAGATAAGGGCAAGACTTGTGGTACTTAGTTGCTGTCATAGTGCACGGGGAGAGGTCAAACCTGAGGGCGTGGTTGGCATCGCACGGGCATTTTTGGGTGCTGGTGCTCGTTCTGTTCTGGTGTCCCTGTGGGCGATTGACGACGAGGCGACTATGGAGTTCATGAAACTTTTCTACCAACAACTAGTCGATGGACAAAGTGCCAGTGAGGCCCTGAATGAGGCCATGAAATCCATGAGAGAATCTGACCGCTTTAGTGCAGTGAAGTACTGGGCGCCGTTTGTTCTCATTGGTGACGACGTAACGCTTGAGTTTGAGGGCATCAAATAAATAGAAAGGTATTTCTGGGTGTGTTTAAAACTTCGATATATTACGCGCTTTAGCAAAAGTTATTTGAACAAGCAATTATTCTTGCCATTTAATTTTTAGGGCAACGAAAAACTCAGGTGGTGTCACTTAACATGAATCTGCTAATCACAGGTTAAGTTCACAACAATTTAAGGAATACAAACGTTTCACTGACGGACACAAGCAAAACTAACTACGAAGGAATGGGTGGACACCCGACAATTTAGCTAACAATAAACGACTGTTACACAGGATCGAATCGCACTAATGGCATTTCGAGTCGTCATAGCCAATACCATCACGGCTTAACTGACAGACGATCAATAAAATCGTGAATTACTTACTTAATTGACCAATCAGGTCAATAACCAGAGTTTTGTATTACTAACTGACTTAGTACAACTCACTTTGACTCCAGAAGATGACTACCACACAGGTTTTCGAAACTTCAGTGACTGTACAACAACAACAGTCCCAAAATGCTAAGATATGCTGGTTGCTTAGAAGAGGTTCCAGGTATGGTGTCCTGGGGGTAAAATCAGTTAGGTGTTTTTGACACGTGGTCTTCTCATTGCACATAAGCTGCAACAGAGGTCATTCTCACCAGATACATCGATTATCAGCACGCACGCTTCAGCATCTCTATAAGACGGACACCTCTGTAAAACGGACACCAAGAATTGGTCCCTGCCTTTCTTTACTGCCCTTATTGACTCTCTCTGAGACGGGTACTTAGTTTCGGTCCCAAAAGTGTCCGTCTTAGAGGAAGTTGACTGTATTCTGTACTTCTGTTAACTTTCTAACGTTGCTATTTGCTGTTTGTGTTGTACAGCTTCTGCATCAAAATTATGAAGACGAAGGCGGCGAAGCAGTTCCTATCTGATTTGAAGTTGAACTCAGTTTCCTTGTGTCACAATTATGAGGTGGAGCGTTCCTTCCAGGGATAGGAACTCTTAATGAGGAAGAGACAATGATGCTTTTATTAAATAACGTAACATAAGAACGTTAATTTAGTGTTGATTTGTTTAGCCTATACAAGCTAATTGGGGACAATAATAACAAGTTTTAATCTTTTCGTAGTCCAAAGGTTAATGTCCTTTTCGTAGCTTATCGTCAGTCGACTAGTCAGTCGTGTGCACAGCTTGTGCATGCGCACTTGCAACTTGTTCCGTAGTCACCAGAGGAACATCAGGAATCAGTAGTCAATTTGTTTTTGCATTATAATACCGTATGTGACAGAGGCACTTGAGACGTGTCTACTGGCAATTATATTTTTTACGGTTTTATTGATATTTACATAGTTGTAGTTTTATTTCTATTGGTTAAAATGTTGAAGTTTTACATTTACTCGTCTGTTTAATATGCTTAGGATGTTTATTTCATAGCCGAGGATTATTCACGTACGTGGTTTTTACCATCAGAAAGCTTAAGTTTCTAAGACGAGGACTAGATTTTCCCAATGCTAACTAGTGCGCGCGCGCGAACCGACGTCATTTTGACGGGACAATGTGAATGCCATTTTACTACGAGTTTTAGCGCGAATATAATGCCATTTATGAGCGATCGGGAGAGGGCTTCACCTCCTTCAACGGAAATAAGCTTTCTAACTTTTTTGGTGAAAAAAGTACAATAAAGCTTTCCGGGATGTCTATTTTTAAAGAATAGGCGAGGAAACTTAAATGGAAATGTCGTTCTCGTAGCCATCCTCTCCCTCAAATCTAAAGCTCTCTAGTAAATAACATAACTAAACAACTTTAGTTAAGTATCGGTTTGTTAGCTAATACAAGCTAACTGGGGACAATAATAATAAGTTAAATCTTTTCGTAGTCCAATGATTAGTCCAATGATTCGTAGCTTATTTTACCACTAGTCAGTCGTGTGCAAAGCTTGTGCATGCGCACTTGCAACTTGATTAATAGTCACCTGAGGAACATCAGGAATCAATTGAGTAGTCAATTTGTATTTCGATAATGTTATGCCATATGTGACAAAGGCGCTTGAGACGCGTCTCTATTGGCAAAAGGCCACTTCCGAGTTCCAAAAACCCTCACTTTCAAAATGAGGCTAGGTGCACAACCTTTCTTGTGAAAATGAGTTTTATTTGCATGAGAATGAAAAATGATTTCCACTTTAAAGGCTGAGCACCTACCCTCGTTTTGAAACAGAGGCTCGGGGGAACTCGGAAATGGCCTATTTAATATAGTTTTTACGCTTTTATTATTTACATAGTTGCAGGTTTTTTTCTATTGGCAGATTGTTGAAAGTTATTTAGTCTAGCAAGGTTTCCATTCTAATACTGGAGTCAAATTCCCTGTTCAGTTACTAAGTTTTATCAGTTCATTATGTTGTAGTTTTGCATTTACGTTTTACTCGTCTACGCGTAAGATGGCTATCTCATAGCCGAGGATTATTCGCGTACGTTTTATCTAAAACATCAGGAATCAGTAGTCAATCGATATATCCATTGTTATACCATATGTGATAGGGCACTTTAGACGTGTCTATTGGCAATTTAATATAGTTTTTACGCTTTTATTATTGACATAGTTTTACTGAGTTTTATTGGCTATTGGCAGATTGTTCAAAGTTACTGCCTAGAAAGGTCTCCATTCTTATACTGAAGTCAAATTCCCTATTCAGTTACCAGGTTTAATCAGTTTAATATGTTGTCGTTTTACATTTACTCGTCTTTTTTATGTGCGTAGGATTGGTGTTTCATAGCCGAGAATTATTTTCGGAGGTTGTTTTTATCATCAGTTTTCTGGTTTCTATTGTCGACACCTAGTTTTTTTTTTAAAAGTCTGTGATAACTTTGGCTCTAACTGTGAGCCCTTTATCCTGTTCTATAATTCAGTAAGCATATTATGGTACATTCGACTTACCTTTATTTAACAGCTAGTGTTTCTAGAGGGTATATAGGCTTTGATAGATTGTGCTAGCGTAATTTTCGGCATAAATATTCGTTATTACGAGCATAAATTTCTTCCACTTTTTGAAACAAATTTAGCTTAAATTATATTTCGGTTGCAAGGACCAACGTTACAAAACAGCAGGTCTGGGTCCTAATATATAAACGATCTAATCAGCTATAAATTAAAATATCGAGCAAAAGAAGCAAGGCTGATTTTACATTCGAGAATATAATAATTGTTGTTACCAATACTTCGTAGGTCGCCGCCCTCCTTTTTCAGGGTCCTTTGAAAATACAAAACTGCTTCCATATTTAACAATTTTGTCTAGTTTTGCAGCACAAAGTTGTCTTTTATTATGGACCATGCAACACTCCCCTCTAAAATACTCCAAAATACTAGGAATTGGAAAAAAAAAGCGCAAAATCATTTAAATGCACTCAATTTCTGGCTAATTAATAAGCCTTAGCACATTGTAACTTGTTCAATGTTATGGTCAAAGTAAGGAAAGACTAACAAGAACAAAAATGATTCTATGCGAGGATTCTGATACCGATGTTGAAATTTGCTCCCCTCTTGAACCCTCAAAATTAAATAAACACCCCGCGGGCGTCCATTGGATCATTTACAGTGAACAAATACAATCAACATTGCGACAAGTAGCATGGATGATTGGCAACTGACCTCATGATGGAGATGGAGAAAGAGGGTGGAAATAAGAAAAACAAATACTCTGTGACCAGGAGAGAGCGTTAGTTTTCAAGGGGAAATTGAAGCCAGCAATTGAAGTGCCGAAATATATTTCCCTTGTTATGGGCGTACTCCACTCAAATGTAAGGGAATCCAAGATTGTGTTGGATTCAGATTCCACGCCATGGATTCTGGATCCTAGGCACTGAATTCCAGTCTCTGATGATGGAGCTTGGATTCCGGACTCCCATGATTCTGGATTCAGGCAAAATTTCCCCGGATTCCGGATTCCACGAGAAAAACTACTCGGATTTCGGAATCCGGATTCCCTTACATTGGGAGATCTGTACCTGGGGTTACACTAAAGGACTGGGTACAGCGGAATTCGTGGAACCTGCCGACGCCACGCAACAAGGTAACAGCCCGGCTCCCCGCAAATGACAGCGCACGTAGACCTGCAACACTTTTCTCCAAATGACGTCTATACTCACGATATCCGTTCCGGTGTTCATTGCAGGCTCCGGAACGGGGTTATAGGCTCCTGTGTGAAATCTTCCATAGAAAAAGTTGATCTGCGACTTCCTCTATGTCTCTAACGTCAATGTACTCCTGTCACAGCGTTTTCACAGACCAGAACCGCGAATATTTAAATCTTTAAGTCTCACAAACCAGTCTGCAAAATCTACAGACCTGAAAGTTCTATTTTTTTCCATATAACGACGTTTAGTTAAAAATAGACCCGTCCGTCAAAACGCCGTGACATAGGATGGTGTAATGAGTATTAAGGTTCGTTTTAGTTTTTTAGTTACGAAAAGTGTTGTTTACTGTGTATTGGGTTCTATATATGACACTCATAGTTTAATTCCCCTGTAGTTTTCCAGGTAGCTGCTTTTTGCAAGTCAATATATTTCTGGAAGCACTTACGTCATTTGCTGACGTAATTTCATCAAACAAAGAAACAAAAGAGGGAAAATCCCCATCACCTGCCACGCAGGCTGGCTTACCTTTCTCTTTTGCAAACAGGTTGATTGTCGAACCTTTTTAAGAGAGAGTCCATCTGAAAACCATGCATTATAAAAAAATCCGTCTACAGTGAACAAAACGGATTTTGTTTATATTCTAGGTAGGTTTACATATTGAGGTGATAAAACCATGTGTGCAATATTGTTGCAAAATTCCTTAACTTGTAGAAGATATTGCGATCGAAAAGATCCACGACAGGTATTATTCAAAAAGGGTTAAATTTTTTACCCAATTTCACAACAAAGTTTCTACTAATGTATTGACCATTTCCCGATCAAATCATCATGTTAGATATAGTAATGACTTGTTATTCCCGTAATTGTATAATTAAGTCCAGGCGTTTTGTATTTTAGTAGTAGACATAATTAAAAAATTAGCCTTTTTGGACTACGTGTGACAGTAAGGATTTTGTGGTAAAATTATCGTTGAATATTGAAATTGCGGCGTTGTTTATAAAGTTGAAATAACACTTATCTTTTTTTATTGCCATTATACAAAGCGAATATGCGAAGAAAACTGTGTAAAGTTAAATGCCACATACAATTTTTACGGTCAAAAGTTCACTATGTGTGCGTTGGGAATAACACCAAAAGACAACAGGTTTCATTTCAAGTATAGAAAAAAAATAAAGGTGAGTAAAGGACAAAGACAGATCTAGGGACTTCATACAAAATCATTGACTACTAAATTAACTTCATATATAAATTACACCCACATACTGCCTCTGTTCGAAGTCCTGCAGTTTGGAAACTGAAGTGCAAGATACCTGCCGACGTTGATCGACGGAGGAGTCAAGCCAGACTCGAAAGTCTGATTACCTAAAATCGTAAAGTTTGAAATTTTCTCCAATAGTTCGGTCTTCCTTTTCAATTGTATATCCACGCACAGTTCTTTAAGGCTTGCATTCATGTCCAGTTTGGCTAAAGATTAAAATTATGGAGGTCAAAGAACCAGGTATTACACTTGCCGCCATTTTGTTCTACTTGTGCCCAGTCGCTCCTCGGCCAGAACCTGCCTGCATGGTAGAATGGGTTCCCAGACAGTGATGACAGCCTAATATGCGATCAGCAATCACGATCGCAGGCTAATGATAGCTTGGCATTCTGACACACCGCCACCCAATAAAAATTCCTGCTTGATTAAAACTGTATTTTTTATTGTAGTCCATATGAACGTCTTATTCCGCTTACGTAAATCTCACAACACCATCTTTTATGCAACATTTTTCGTGTTTGTCAAACATTTACCCGTCTATTGTTCATCTCAATAATGTCCCTGATTCTGTTATGAATAACAGAATCAGAATCAGCCCCATGAGCTCAGGATATGAGCGCTATATGAGCGCTGTATAAAAAAGTTATTATTATTATTATTATTATTATATCGCAACTCTATGTATTGTGCTAATCTAGGGTTGGGAGAGTAGATCGTTGACTATTCTAAAGCGATAATGTTAGAAAAGTGGCAATATATCTAAGATATATTGCGATTCATTGCTATCGATGTACATGAATACCACTCTCAACACCTGTGGAGAGCAACTATTAGTCAGTCCTTTCATATCTCATGACGGGAGCTGTCAAGGTCAAGCTATCACAAGTTCTGCGAAAAGTTTTTAAGTCTTAGCCCAATTAACAATTAACCTGCGGTGAAAATGGTTCAAGGGTTGCGCACTCTCCAGTTCTCTCATCTCTCTCTCTTTTTTTGCGGGCAATTTCTACATGAACCTACGCTCTTTCAAAAGCGAATATTCGCCTATTTACAAGCTTAAGTCTGATTTAATTTTTCTAACAATACAGAAATAATCAGTTTCACATAAGTTGGACAATGTAGTAAGATACAAACAGTTACTGGTAGACTGAATTTAGAGCGTTAGCTGGTTGAGAACCCTTCTGCGCAGGTGGTATCTTTCTGAACGCTCGACTATTGCCTCAGCATCTTCTTCGAGACTAACCAATGCTGCTGGTTGCTGATCGATTTTTTTCATTGCAGCCAACCTCGAAAAATAGCTATTAACTTGTTGGGGAGTGAGCCACTCGTCTTTGCCAAATATCCGAGCTCCCTCCTCGGTACGTACTGTGCGCATTCGTGCTGAAGCTTCGGCAGGGGTGACTTTCCGACCAGTTTCTTCACCAATCATGAACTGCTCGAGCAGATAGTTCTTAACTTTAACCGAAAACCTGCTTCTTCGCTTTGATTTAGTCTGCGCCCACCCCATAGACAAAACATTTTCTTCCGTTACTCCAAAGGACGAACTGGCCGTTAAGGCACAGGAGGGATTTTGTGGTTTCAAACTTAAGCAATGCTCAGCCCATTTATGTCTGATCTGGTCATATTGTGACTCTTCGTGGAGTTTAATCTCATGGCGGCCAAAGTCCAAGTGTCTCTGAAGGGTTTGATTTGTTCTGAACGTCTTGATACAGCCCTGTTCGGGGCAAGTGAACCAAGGAATGCCCTCGTCATTTGTAGGAGAAACGACGGTCTGTTTGGCTTGGTCACCAGGCGGCCGCGTCGAAGCTTTCTTTAACAACCCGGTAGCGTTAACTGGATCACAAAAAGGCAATATTACTTTCACCCCCGTCTCACTCCGTGGCTGGCCCACCTTAGCAAGCTCTTGTTTGGAAATTTTCCTACCTTCTCCAACTTTAAACGCCTTCGAGACAGTCATTCCACCATCTTCAGTATATTCGAAGTTGTTTAACTGGCTAATACCACTTAACTTGGGCGCGTTAGTTGTTTGCTTTCTTGTGTCTAATTCAATCACTGATGCTCGACAGCCCTTTATTCCCCCATAGGAGTCAATAGCTTCCTTTAATTGACGCGCTGTTATAACATCGTGACCTAAAACAAGACAGAATTATCAGTAAAAACTGTGAAAAGAAGGGTGCTGTGAACCGTTGGCGGGCCAATTAAAACGCAAAACGTTTTTTGTTGCTCGTCGGACTTTTTGTGGTCTTCGGAAATGCAAATAACTTTACTATTTTTACAGCCTCTTATTAATTTTTAATAGCCCTGAAACTATTTGTCACCTTCATTAAGATATCTTCCGATGTGTGCTTTGAGGGGTGCGATCTTTCTGTCGCAGACATCTTTCCCGCTGTTCGCCTCACTGAAGCTGTAATTCTTAAGCGCCAACCCCCTGTTCTTGTAATTGTTGGCGCACTGATCAGTAACGCAGCGTTGTGATAGCAGCCAGCGTTGTCACTTCGTAAAAATAGTTCTTTCAGAAGTGGGGACAACCGCTTAAGCTGCTGAACAAGGTCTTCCAGAATTGATAAGACTGCAAACCAATCTTGGTTGCCTTTATCAAGAATGTGAACGAAAGTCCGAACCTTTGGAAAGAAAAAAATAAAAAGGATTGTAACAAAATGACCATTTTTTAATGTAACGCTAACTGTAGCCTATCGATTACAAACGCCTTCATTGCTCTCCCGGCTCACCTCGAGTAACGACAACTCAGAAAAAAAAAAACAAGACGACCCAGGAACCCCGATCTTGTCATATTTCCGAGTGAAATGACGTAAATTCTCTCTCGCTCTCCTCTAAACGGGGTGCTAATCCATGAAAAGTTACATGTAACCAGCGGTATATTTATAAGCCTGGGTGGGGGAAACATGCGCCCACGGTTCAAACTTAAACCTGAGTGGACCTGTATTTTCACTAGCGGATTCACACCTTCAACTTAGCAGAGAGTCTCTGCTTATCCAGAACTTATATATCATGTCGGCCTTGCGGCCTCAGTTTGACCTAAGAAGAAGGTGGTTGCCCGAGTCCCCCAGGGACCCACCCTTAGGCTCTTGCCGATTGTGCTAGCATAATTTTTGGCATAATCTGAGGAACTGAGCATAATTTTTGCCCTTTTTCCAAAAGTAGCACTGCTAGCATAATCCGTATATTTTCTTGTCTTAATAGCACAATTTTAGAATAATTCAAGAAAACGAAAATCTCAGCTACTAAAAACGATAGATTACTATTAACAGTTGCTTCCACTCCTATTTTTCGATTTTTTTTTACTTGTGTTGAGATACCGCGGGAGTTCGATGAAACGGAACCGGAAGTCTGTGTCTCGGTCCCAGACTCCTTAGTCTTTCTCCCAGTGCTCGTTTCAAAATGGCGGCCGCCACGCCAAACCAGTCAAGTGCAGTGAACTTACATCCAGATAGTTTACAAGGTTGCGAGAACAGAGAGGATAGACCAAAGCCTGCACAACTTGCCCGGGATAGACGCCTCGAATCCACCACTGGAAAATACAAGAGGAGGGGGACGAGTAATGTCACTAATGTGAAAAATGCCCGGGGGGGGGCACTTTAGGAATTTCTGGGTGGGGATGTGCCGCTGGGAGCCTGGAACCCTTAACCTTTACCAGAGCTAGTTCAGCTGAATTTTGCTACCCTATACTAGAGTAAACTCCCCAAATCCCCCTATCCTAGAGTAGCTGTGTACCTAGTCTAGATAAAATCTTCAACCAACTGATCAGTTTCCTGAAAAATGATACCCTATTCTAGAGCCAACCGCTCTGATTTATATACCCTATCCTAGAGTAAACGGCTTGAAAACCATACCCTTCACAGCGGCACATACCTATATAGCCCATATATGGCAGTACCCCCCCCGGGGAAAAATGTCCCTCTGCAAGATCGTATTAATCAGTTCCCTGATCAGCACCTGAGTGTCAGAGGCACAACGATCTTTTGCAATGCCTGCAGAGAAATGGTATCATCCAAAAAGAGCATTTTAGCATCACATTGTAGTTCAAGAAAACATGCCAAAGGGAAAGATGCGCTGAAGAGATCAAGGTTAAGAGAACAAACGATAGCCGAGGCACTCAGCAGAGAGAAGACTCGTAAAGACAACACGCTGCCGTTGACTGAGCAAGCATACCGACAGGAAGTAGTGGAGGAATTTTTGAAAGCAGGGATTCCAATCGGGAAGGTAGACAGGCTACGTCCTTTGCTAGAGAAAAATGGGTATCGCCTCACTCACTGAGTTGTGAAGTTTGTGCACAGAATAATTTTTTAAAAAAGTAGCATAATTTTGAAAAGCGAGCATAATTTGAGCAAAAAAACGAGCACTGCCACTAGCATAATATGCCACTTTTACTAGCACAATCGGCAAATGCCTACCCACCCTCCCCCTAGATCTGCCATTGATTCCCGTTGTCTCACGTACAACACTTCACTAGATCTGCGTTTCCGTCCACATACGGAGCACATGTCTGTTTGTTTTACATGCACTCCAACGGACTGGGGCAAAAAATATATATCTTTCACTTCATCTTCCGCAAAAACTATGCCTCTATAGAGCAGCTAGCACGAAAAAAAAAAGCATTACACGTGCGTTTATGGCTTGTTCGTAAGGAATGAAACTGATTTTTTTCTGACAAATCAATCCAAGTGACGTGCTTTGAAGTTTACAGATAATTAGAAGCAGAAAGAAAATTTGTTTACGTCAAACTTCGCTTCCTCGTTATCAGGTCTTGTTATGCAGGCCGACACATGCCAACTGACTCCTTTTTTCCCAAACCATTCTGCCTGGGTTTCTCTGTAGCTTCTTGGGAGCCATTTCATGGTCCAATCCATCACCACTAGCACCTGCCGCTCAGTAAGATTATCAAGAATGTTTATTTTGGCTTTTTCTTGATTGGTAGCTCTCACTATGGGCGATTTCCAGTCCATAATTCTTTCAGTGGCTTTCTCGATGTCATATTTGAGCTCTTCTTTCTGTTCCTGGTAACTTAAAAAAAAATTGATTTTGAAATAATGACAACATTACAGAAAATGCTCTTTTGGAGATTTCACCAAGAGAGATGAGTACAGGGAAGAATGGAAAGGGAATGAATACTAATTGTTCGCGCTTTTTCACTTGTCTTGTGCATTGGCTGTTAACAATATATCGTACAATGAAGAAAGCCTTAGACAAAGGTTGAGGCACTTGTCGTAAGCGACAAACTTCTACTTTTTTGTTTGTTTGTTCTTGATGTCGTTGTTTCTTTTTTCCCGTGTAACAGACGCTAGGGACAAGGGTACCAACCTTAATGTTTGCAACAAAAAGCGCGGGTCGCGTTTTCCTTAAAGTCATAAATATTTGGCATATGTCTAATAGTATGCAACTGTATTTTTTACCTAAACGAAATATCACCACTGTCTAGTCCAGCAATGATGTCGTGAGCGACGTTAGCACAGTCTAAACATCGATCACACTGCATAGTGTGTTCATGGTCACAGGCCGTTTTGTACTGGACATCATCGGATGATAGGGCGAATCGTATACAGTGATCAGCACAGGGACTTTCCTCCAACACATGAAGTTTGTAATCAGCTTTTAAGTATCGTTTAGCTGCTCGTACCCTTTGTCTAACGTTATCAGCCCACTGGAGAGATGAACCTACAGCAAGTACAAATAAATCGGCTTAAACTCTAAATCTCACCTAGCAAAGTCATCTAAAAGCGATCAAAAATTAAATAGGGCATAAAAGTAGAATAGACGGTGGGGTTGGTTACTAACTTACAGGTTGTAGGTTAAGGTGATTCCCTAGTTTTGCATTGCGCATCTCTTACTGCGCATAACAAGATGGCCTCCGTAAAAAAGAGCATGCGAAGTAACATTATTAAAATGAAGTTGACTGAAGAGAAACGCTATTGGAATTTTGCTTGCTGTTGTTTCTTGTCCAGGAAAGACTCAGTGTGTTGGGAATGTGCATAACGTAAGCAGGGTTTGAGCCAGGCCGCGCCATTGCGCCAATCCCGCACTGCAATTGGAATTGTCCCTTTAAAAAACGGCCAAGGGGACAATTTGTCCCCTTCAAAATTTAGGGAAAAAACTCGAAAGGAAGCACACACGAAGAGATTTATTTCGGTACAGAAGTTGCAAGCTGAAACAGAACGTGGAAAGCATATTTTATCGCACCTTTAAAGTTCATTCCAAAGTTACGTTTCAGTCACGCTCCTACTGCTATTTTTTTCGGAAATCAAAGACAGGGCTTCTGATTTTTCGCGCGGTCGCGGAGCCGCGAAATTCGGTAGAAATCTTATCAAATACATGTCTATACAACATATTTGAAACTTATTTCAGCTATAGGGGCTATTTACTTGCCGTAAACTTGCAAATTTATCTTGGAACTTCGTCACTGAAACGTGCAAACAGATTATGTTGCGAAAAACTGGGCACTAGCCATCATGTTAAAGGCTTTGCCATTGGTTCATTTCTGGAGCGTATTGTTGTTGAAAGAGCAAATGATGACCTCTGTTAGAAAAACGTTAAAAAGGCTGGTCTGATCAGCGCAAAACCGATCGATTTCTAGCGAAATCGGCCGTTTTTTACCGATTGCTTTTCGGTGAAGTTTGCCCCGAAAACTCCCGCGAAATCGGCCGATTTTTCCGCGAATTTGTCCCTAAAAGTCCCGCGAAATTTGACTTTTTCGTCCGAGACCTGTCACAAGCCCTGCTAAGAAGGAAGGGTGTACAAATTTCTGTCCCCCTAAAAATGAAAATGTCCCCCAAAATTTTAGCCAAGGGGACAAATTGTCCCCCAGTGATCAAATCCTAGCTCAAACCCTGCGTAAGCAGTACGCGTGTTAATGAGTTCGACTTCCTCACGGAGAACCTCGATAGTGGATGTTTAACTTGTGCTTACTCACTTTGATTTTCATTTAAACGCTTTCTTTATCACATTGTGTCCTAAATGTAATACCTCGATGTAAATTCTGTAAAAACGCATTTTTTAATACTTTCTTCCCCCTTTACCATGCATTCTATTTTAAACTCGCCCCAGTCCTCTCTCAAAAATCGGAGAAAATGCATTTGGTACGCACTTTCTGCAACTTTACCGCAAAAACGAGTACGGTGACCGCCATTTTTTATTTCATGATTTTAATAAGGACAGTGCTTCCTTTCGATGAGAAAAAAATTGGCACAAATCTATGTTCAGTTTTTTGGCAATTTTACTAAATTGTACTGATTGAGCTATCAAGGGTCGAATAGCGCGTGTCTAATTTAATTCCACTTTAGAGCGTTAAGTAAAAACAAGGGCATTAAAAGGCATTTTTCTGGTACGTAAGTGGATAAAACGTACATTAAAGTCAAATTCTGTGGGATACCACAAGCATCATCGAAAAAATCTCTCCTTTTTGTCTAGTTTTGGCTGCCCGCGGTTTTTGTAAATGCTCCCAAATAGCCGTATTTGTCATCATTTTCACGTCAAAACGAGCACGGTGACCCCCACTTTTTATTACTTTTTTACCATCTTCTTGACTTGTTCAATCAGTGTACCAAGTTTCATCTACAATCTATGTTAGGTTCTATTACTAATGAATCACCTTAAGCGTACCTAGAGATGTCATAGTTTCTACAACCTTTTCCAATGTATCAAACGCTGATGCACCTTCGCTTGTGACGTTATCAAGGCCGGCAGGGGACTTTTTCTGGGAAGCTGCACATATCTGTGAAAGAAAAAATTTGGTAACACATCACTACATAACGTGGCTTTTTATCCTGCTTCCCACAACCAAAGAGTCTAGAGTACTTGCAGCCACTATTTTACACTCTTGTTAATTCTGACCAAAATCACAGTTAATAGTTTAGACTACTCTAGTTATTTTTTTCTTTACCTTAAGGATAGAAAATAGGGTCGATCTACCAAGAGGCTGAAAGCCAACTTCACTGCAATACAACTGATATAGTTTGACCATTCTGGAACTAATGACAGTGCGCACTAAGTCAGGTATCTCCAAACATTCTCCAGATGACATTTTTATCTTCCTTGTACCATAGGCTACATCCTGAAGGTAGTGAGGGCTACTTATAAAATCTAGGAAGTGGTCGACTTTCTCTCCTTCAAGACGATAACGCATCACGGGTTCTCTAACTTCAGAATGGCCTGCACCAACAACCACAGCATGCTTTCTTGCTTGATCAATTCGCCAAGTTGTGAGGCCTGGAACCAGGTCTTTCAGTTGCGTTTTAGTGTAGTGCTGCGCAAAAATAGACAAGATTGTCATTTTTGTATACCAAGATGTCACGCCTTCGTAAAGTGAAAGCAGGGTGGCCATAATGTTGTTTACTGGTTCAGGTTCTATTGGCGTTGGATTTGCGACCTATGCAAGAAGTTCATTAGACTGCCCTGGTGCAATACATTCTAGTGTTGTTCCTACTACTTCTTTTGACTTGCGTCTTATGTAGGAGCGCGTGCTTCTGGCAACATCTTGAATTGGCTGCGTGAGTTGAAAGCGCACCGGACTAATTCTTCCACCGCTTAATCTTTCAATATGCTGATTTAGAACTTCCAGCCCGCGATTTGGTGTAGGTGTTGGAAGGTATTCTTCTTCCTCTTCTTCATCTAGACATAGTGATCGCATCAATGCAGGAATTGGAGTCATGATATCATCAAGGTGACTCTCCAGTCTATAGTATTCTCCTGGTTGAACCTTAAAAAAGAAATAAAATTTAGCCCTTTGTCGTGACGCGCAGGTGTCCGCAACACTAACGATGAATTTCGGTTTAGATTTTTCATGAACAAGTCAATTCCACATGCAGGGAGCGCATCACTTGATCATCATCACTTGTTTGGGCTTTCTGTATTAAAATAACAGAGTATAGTACATGAACCTGACACTACCCACCTGCACACGTCTTGGTCTGGACAAACTGGTTTCAAGTTCCTCAGCGATGTCATCCTCAAACACTTCACTTTCTGGCTTTCTTATATTCTTGACCAATTTCGTTTTGTATAGAGAAAAAGAAAAAGTGTCACCTTTCTTCTGTTTTTGCCCCTTACACTTTTTATATGCCAAGCCCTTTGCATTGATTTATAAGTGTTTATTTTATAGCTAAATTTTATCTTGTTCAAGGAGCACTCTTTTCTTATAGTTTCCCGAATTTCAATTCAATTAAATTGATTGTTGCCTATGTTATAAATTTACCTACGTTCCCTGTTTATATGGTGGAAACGTTCCTTGGGTAGAAGTTTTAAACGCCGAGCAACCATGGGCGAGCCAACTGTTCCTGGGTTTCCTTACAAAACTTGGCCAACCCTTTAAATGAGAATCAAAAATTTGACTAAGCAGAAAGGGTTACGCGCCTAGTGGTGTCGATTCCGTCTAGAGGAGACAATCACCCTGATGTATAAGCTCTTTTTGGCTCGTGTCTTGTTTCTTATTTTTGGTTTGTCTGTCTTTTTTTTCCTTAACAACGCTCGCTTAAGTTGACTTGGCAGGAAGAGTAACCCTCTTTCCCGGGACAACCGGGAAAATTACATAAACGAGTTTTCATTGTCCCCCGCGCCGTTAAGCAATAGGGCGTGGTGGAACAAGAAAGAGACTTACATTCTAAGCGGCCAAAGCTGATACACCTGCATGGCTCTCTAATAGAAACCTTTTTTAATCCAACTAATAAACCATTTTTTCTTACTGACTTTACTGCCGTAATAGTTTATGTAAATATACGTAAAACCACGATCAAGTTGTCGTAAGGTTTATCATGACGTAATGTGTACTTACCTGACATGTCGAACTCGTAGATGGTCCAAACTTCGAGTGCATGTCCAAACATTTCATGCAAATACCTAAGAGATCCGAAGAAGGAAGTGAGATTTTTTTACGAACTTAGTCTTTAAATTAAACAATGTCAAATAAACTAAATATGAGCTAACCTTGTCCGATTTGACACAACACATTCCATTTCTGATATATTTCTTCCGATAAACGTTTAGTAATTCCTCTGGTCGGTTTTTGTTTGCTGTCATGCAGTGGATATTTGCATGCTTTGCTTGGTCGCCAGCCTAATCCGAAATCATCTCTGTGTGAGGGACAAATAGTTGAACAATCTCCGTCTTCCTGGAAGAGTCCTGCTCGGTAGAGGCAGAGTCTCCACTCAAAATCTACTCCTTTAGCCGTTGTTTTGTAGCAACCTCTCAGGTGAGGTAAAACGTCTTTTGTACACGTTTTTAATGGCACAATGGCTGTTTGTGCAGAGTATCGTCTGGACACACCGCATTCTTTACTAGAATAACACTTAAAAGAACACTCAGCCATCAGGATCGAAAGTGTGAAATCTGATATCATGTGATCGGCACCTGCAGTCACCACACGTCAAACGTCACGCAATCATTTCCTTCTGTTGTTCTGGTCAAACGTTTTGCTAGCTTCTCTTCAGAACAAAATCTATAGTTTCGTTTCAACTCAGGACAAAAAGAAGACTTATGCTCATTTTTATTCAAGTACCTGGTAAACAAAGGCAGAAGTGTAGACTGAAGTTGATTCCGCGGATCAAATCTGTTAGTTTATACGGCCTGTCGTTTATCTTTATTTTGATCACGTCTGTTTTGCTGTTTCATTGCTAGAGGTTATGACGACAACATGAGCGTTTTATATTGAAAAAAGAAGGTAAGAGAAAAATTCACTAAATCGCCCTATTCGATTTAACTGTAAGCTGCTTGTGTTTAGAAATCCAAGTCATTTGCTAGTGTTGCCATAATCTCAGTTTAGGTGTGTTTTGGTCAAAATTACATTGTATCGCAAGGTGAACTAACTCGAATTTTTACATAAACACAATTTGTTTTAAGTGACACGGGATTATTTTAATGTAATAATGTCAATAAAAGTATTTTTTCTGTCACCCGTGGGATAAAGTTGATAAATATCAGCTAAATCACGATTTTATGGTTGGCCTCATTTGCATTAGCGTTAAAATAATGGTCACTTTCGGAATGCAAATAATAGTAATAAATAGTAACTTTACAAAGATTTTTTGCTACATATCGTAAGAATGTTTCTTTGATTAACTCAAGATGGCTTTAAACTTTATTAAAACAGCGCCGCATTTCTTTAAAGAGTCGCTTTTGAGACCATACTTCACTGGTGTCAGTTTTACTTGATTTATTTAAGTTTTTCTCTTACTAAGACGAAACAGAATTGAATAGTTAAGTGACCATTTTTCTTATGTTTAGGGTGCAAGCAATCCTTCGAAAAAAAATCATTTCATTTGGTTGATTATTTTGCGAGCATGAGGTGATCAAACAAGAGGTCATTTCTGCATGAAATTTTAGTCCATTTAACCGTTAAACCGGTTGATTGACATTTCTCCAAAACAATAGAATTTTGGGCTAAACTGTTCCACATCCTAAGTCAATAAGTGTGCCAAATATGAAGGGAATCGGAGAGATGGTCTGTAGACCACTCTGCATGGTTTTCAGATGGACGCTCTCTTAAGGTTAGTTTTGTTGACGTCCAGTTTATTCTGTGAAGGAAAAGCGATGTGTATTAAAACTTGTCTTTAATGTGATTTCCTTGTAGACCATTTCGTCACGTGAAATCAAGCGAATTATTCCGGGGAATTGTTGCGAATTAGACTGTATCAAGATCATCGTTGAATAAGGTAGGCATAACATGTTATGTAGCCAATTGAAAGTTACTGCTTTCACTCTAGAACTCCGTTTGCGTTTACAGACTTCGATCGCCACTATCGTTAATTCAGGCGACAGGACATTTTTAGCGATCGCGCTCTCCGAGACATGTAGCCAAATTTTTGCTTTTCCTACATTTATTATGCATGACTATATTAACTATACGGAAAATTTCACACCTTGCATAATAATAAGTAGACTTTGTAAATATTTTCGACTTAATTACCATGATATAGCACAAATGAATTACGTGCTGTGGCAATCGCAGTAATTGACGTGAAACTCAGGGCTATCTTGAAATGTCACTACAACTGGAAATCAGGGGCCTAGCGCGAGGGTTTGAAGGTGTACGTACGAAAATAAAGGTTAGACTTCTGAAGGAACTGCAGATTTAATAGGGAGGTCTGTGAGCATGCTCCCAAAGAAAATGTTTAAAATTCCAGTGCTCAGAAGTGCCATTTCTTGCGTTTTCCGGGAGACATTTTCAGTAAATAAATATCAGGGAAAATGTAATAGTTAGTTGTTGAATTTACATCTCTAGTGTTACCGGTAGGGTACAGTGTACGGGGAAAAGGGGGGAAACAGTGACGCCATAAAACAGAGAAACAAAAGAAAGGGAAACCCCATCGCCTGCCACGTAGACTAGAATTCAATCTTTCTCTTTCGGCAAAGGGGTTGATTGTCGAAGCTTTTTAAGGTTAGTGTTTTATGGACGTCCACTTTATTTTGCGAAGGAAAGACGATGTGTATTAAATTTTATCTTAAATGTGATTTCCTTGTAGACCCGTTCGTCGTGTGAATCAAGCGAATTATTCGGGAAATTGTTGAGAATTACAAGACTTACAAGTATCAAGATCATCGTTAAATAAGGTAGGCATAACATGCTATGTAGCCAATTAAAAGTGACTGTTTCACTCTAGATATAGAACTCCGTATGCGTTTAAAGACTACAATGGCCACTATCGTTAATTCAGATGACAGGACTTTTTTAGCGATCGCTCTCAGAGACATAACAAAGCCAAATTTTGGTTTTCCCCACATTTATTATGCATGCATGTCTATAGAGTATACTGACTGTACGGAAAATTTCAAACCTTGCATAATAAAAAGTAGACTTAGTAAATATTTTCGACTTATTCTACCGTTGATACAGCACAAATTCTCCGAACAAATGAATTACGTGCTGTGGCAATCGTAGTAATTGACGTGAAACTCAGGGCTATCCTGAAATGTCACTACAACTGGAAATCAGGGGCCTAGCGGGAGGGTTTGAAGGTGTACGTACGAAAATAAAGGTTACACTTCTGAAGGTACTGCAAAATTTAATAGGGAGGTCTGTGAGCATGCTCCCAAAGAAAATGTTTCAAATTCCGGTGCTCAGAAATGCCATTTCTTGCATTTTCCGGGGGACATTTTTAGTAAATAAATATTAGGGAAAATGTAATAGTTAGTTGTTGAATTTCATCTCTAGTGTTACCGTTAGGGTACAGTGTACGGAGAAAAGGGGGGAAACAGTGACGCCGTCAAACAGAGAAACAAAAGAAAGGGAAACCCTATCGCCTGCCACGCAGAGTAGAATCCAATCTTTCCCTTTCGGCAAAGGGGTTGATTGTCGAAGCTTTTTAAGGTTAGTGTTTTATGGAAGTCCACTTTATTTTGCGAAGGAAAGACGATGTGTATTAAATCTTATCTTAAATGTGATTTCCTTGCAGACCCTTTCGTCGTGTGAAATCAAGCGAATTATTCGGGGAATTGTCTCGAATTACAAGTATCAAGATCATCGTTAAATAAGGTAGGCACAACATGCTATGTAGCCAATTAAAAGTGACTGTTTCACTCTAGAACTCCGTATGCGTTTACAGACTACGATGGCCACTATCGTTAATTCAGATGACAGGACTTTTTTAGCGATCGCTCTCAGAGACATGAAACCAAATTTTTGTTTTTGCCACATTTATTATGCATGCATGTCTATAGAGTATACTGACTGTACGGAAAATTTCAAACCTTGCATAATAAAAAGTAGACTTAGTAAATATTTTCGACTTATTTTACCGTTGATATAGCACAAATTCTCCGAACAAATGAATTACGTGCTGTGGCAATCGCAGTAATTGACGTGAAACTCAGGGCTATCTTGAAATGTCACCACAACTGGAAATCACGGGCCTAGCGGGAGGGTTTGAAGGTGTACGTACGAAAATAAAGGTCAGACCTTTGAAGGTACTGCAAATTTAATAGGGAGGTCTATGAGCATGCTCCCACAGAAAATGTTTCAAATTCCAGGGCTCAGAAATGCCATTTCTTTCGTTTTCCGGAGGGCATTTTTAGTAAATAAATATCAGGCAAAATCTAATAGTTAGTCGTTGAATTTACATCTCTAGTGTTACCGGTAGGGTACAGTGTACGGGGAAAAAGGGGGGAAACAGTGACGCCATCAAACAGAGAAACAAAAGAAGGGGAAACCCCATCGCCTGCCACGCAGACTAGAATTCAATCTTTCTCTTTCGACAAAGGGGTTGATTGTCGAAGCTTTTTAAGGTTAGTGTTTTGTGGACGTCCACTTTATTTTGCGAAGGAAAGACGATGTGTATTAAATCTTATCTTAAATGTGATTTCCTTGTAGACCCTTTCGTCGTGTGAAATCAAGCGAATTATTCGGGGAATTGTCTTCAATTACAAGTATCAAGATCATCGTTAAATAAGGTAGGCACAACATGCTATGTAGCCAATTAAAAGTGACTGTTTCACTCTAGAACTCCGTATGCGTTTACAGACTACGATGGCCACTATCGTTAATTCAGATGACAGGACTTTTTTAGCGATCGCTCTCAGAGACATGAAGCCAAATTTTTGTTTTTGCCACATTTATTATGCATGCATGTCTAGAGAGTATATAATAAAAAGTAGACTTAGTAAATATGTTCGACTTATTTTATCGATGATACAGCTCAAATGAATTACGTGTTGTGGCAATCGCAGTAATCGATGTGAAACTCAGGGCTATCCTGAAATATCACTACAACTGGAAATCAGGGGCCTGGCGGGAGGGTTTGAAGGTGTACGCACGGAAATCAAAGTTAAGGTTCTGTATAGTCAATAGGCAGGTCTGTGAGCATGCTCCCGCAGACACTTTTTCAAATTCTAAGGCTCAGAAATGCCATTTCCTGCGTTTTCCGCAGGGAATTTTCAGTAAATAAGTATGAGGGAAAATGTAATAGTTAGTTGTTTTAAAAAAATTACATCTCTAGTGTTACCGGTAGGGTACAGTGTACCGGGAAAAAGGGGAAAACAGTGACACCATCAAAGGAGTTACAAGCAATGAAGACCGGCAAATACACCAATACAATTCGAAAGATTTATCATCATCCTGATTTAATGATAGAAATGCTTTCAGCAAATAGATTTCAGCTGTACACACGAGAGTATGGAGTATGTGCGTTTGTGGACGCTACGCCCTGGAAAAAAACCAAAGCTACGAGGAGATATTCTCCTTCAGAACTTAGAAACATTTTGAATAAATAATAAAACAATTATTGAATTCTGCTTTCAAAGGATGCTAAGAATTATGCAGTTCTTGGTGGATAACATCCTCCTCAAGATGCATAGCCTGTACACATACGTTGTTCTTTCCCACCCCTACCCACTTGCGCTGGGGGATAATAAATCCCCCGCGGGTTTTATTTTTTATCAGGCACGCTCGACTCACTTTGAAGAGAAAATAGAAGTTCTGTGAACAGGCAACGATCTGGATAATTTTTCACATCCTACTAAGCCTGATTCAATAAATTGCTAATTGCAAGATATATGGGTCAGCCTTTACTCCGAATTGACTGAAAACGTAATTAAAAAACCCAAGAATAATTCATAAAGAAAAAACAAAAGAAATAAGTGTTTAGTGACTGTCTTTATAACTGTTAAAGACGGCTGAACCTTACGACCAAATTTTTGGACCAAAATTCCCAAAATCTAAATTTTAGTGCAAGAATCAGGTGATCTATATCAGAGATATTCTAAGCCGTTCAAAAACCTCACGCCCCTCCTGCTCGTTTTTTTAAAACAGTACATAATATCTTGCTAAAACTCAAATAACATGATTTAAGGTTACTAAAAGAAATAAAGCGATTAATATACTGAGTTTATATTTTATCTCACTTTATCATACGTTACCATACTTTTTGTGAAAAACTGAATAAGCCACAAAATGAAACCACAAAATATTTATCCTTTTTTCAGGAGAGCTGAAATACCAAAGCTAGCAAAAAGTGTGACCGAGAGATAAATAACTTTTTCAACCTATCACAGCTTCCATATCTGCTCAATTTTGGTAAAATGGCGGAGAAAAGACAAGAAGTGGCAGACTCCTATGTCAACATTAAAGATCTTCAGAACGCCATAAAATTCATTGAAACAAACCTCAAAATTGTCAAAGAAAAAGGAGACACGGCAATAGAGGCAAAAGCATATTGTCATCTTGGCAACGCCTACCACAGTCTTGGAGATTTCCAGAAAGCCATAGAGTACCATGAACGACACCTCAAAATTTCGAAAGAACTAGGAGACAGGGCAGGAGAAGGAAAAGCATATTGTAATCTTGGTAACGCCTATAACAGTCTTGGAGATTTTCAGAAGGCCATAGAGTACCATAAACGACACCTCAAAATTTTAAAAGAAGTGGGAGACAAGGCAGGAGAAGGAAGTGCGTACTTCACTCTTGGCATAGCCTATCACAGCATTGGAGATTTCCAGAAAGCCATAGAGTACCATGAACAAGACCTCAAAATTTCGAAACAAGTGGGAGACAGGGTAGGAGAAGGAAGAGCGTACTGTAATCTTGGCAACGCCTATCACAGTCTTGGAGATCTCCAGAAAGCCATAGAGTACCATGATCGATACGTTAAAATTTCGAAAGAACTGGGAGACAGGGTAAGTGAAGGAAGCGCGTACTGTAATCTTGGCAACTCGTATTTTATTCTTGGAGAGTTTCAGAAAGCCAAAGAGTACTATGAGCGACAACTCAAAATTTCCAAAGAAGTGGGAGACAGGGCAGTAGAGGGAAGAGCGTACGTTAATCTTGGCAACGTCTATCTCAGTCTTGGAGATTTCCACAAAGCCATAGAGTACTATGATCAACACCTTAGAAATTTGAATGAACAGGGAGACAGGGCAAGAGAAGGGAGAGCGTACTGCAATCTTGGCAACGCGTATAGTAATCGTGGAGATTTCCAGAAAGCCATAGAGTACCATGAACGAGACCTCAAAATTTCGAAAGAACTAGGAGACAGGGCAGGAGAAGGAAGAGCGTACTGTAATCTTGGCAACGCGTATGACAGTCTAGGACATTTCCAGAAAGCTATAGAGTACCACGAAAGACACCTCAAAATTTTAAAAGAAGTGGGAGACAAGAAAGGAGAAGGAAGCGCGAACTTCCGACTTGGCAAAGCCTATCACAGTCTTGGAGATTTTCAGAAAGCCATAGAGTACCATGATCAATACCTTAAAATTTCGAATGAACTGGGAGACAAGGAAGAAGAAGGGAGAGCGTACTGCAATCTTGGCGTCGCGTTTAATAATATTGGAGATTTCCAGAAAGCCATAGAGAACCATGAACGACATCTCAAAATTTCAAAAGAACGAGGAGATAGAGAAGGAGAGGGAGGAGCGTACGGTAATCTTGGCAACGCCTATCTCAGTCTTGGAGATTTTCAGAAAGCCATAGAGTACCATGAACAAAACCTCCAAATTTTGAAAGAACTGGGAGACAGGGTAGGAGAGGGAGCAGCGTACGGTAATCTTGCCATCGACTACCACAGTCTTGGAGATTTTCAGAATGCCATAGAGTACCATGAACGAAACCTCAGAATTTCGAATGAACTGGGAGATAGGGCAGGAGAGGGAAGAGCGTACGGTAATCTTGGAAACGCCTTTAGAAATCTTGGAGATTTCCAGAAAGCCATAGAGTACCATGAACGAAACCTCCAAATTTGGAAAGAAATGGGAGATAGGGCCAGAGAGGGAAAAGCGTATTGTAATCTAGGCAACGCCTATGACGGCCTTGGAGATTTCCGGAAAGCCATAGAGTACCATGAACGAGACCTCAAAATTTCGAAAGAAGTGGGAGACAGGGTAGGAGAAGGAAGAGCTTACTGTAATCTTGGCAACGCTTTTAGCTATATTGGAGATTTCCAGAGAGCCATAGAGTACCAGAAAGAACACCTCAAAATTTCGAAAGAAGTGGGCGACAGGGTAGGAGAGGGAAGAGCCTACGGTAACCTTGGCAACGGCTTTAGAGGTCTTGGAGATTTCCAGAAATCCATAGAGTACCATGAACGACACCTCAAAATTTCAAAAGAATTGGGAGACAGATTAGGAGAGGGAATAGCGTACAGTAATCTTGGCAACGCCTCTGGAGGTCTTGGAGACTTCCAGAAAGCCATAGAGTACCATGAACGACGCCTCAGAATTTCGAAAGAAATTGAGGATTGTGCTGGGGAAGGAAAAGCGTACGGTAATCTTGGCAATGTCCACAAAAGTCTTGGAAATTTCCAGAAAGCCATTCAGTATTATAAGAGCAGTGTCATAGCGTTTGACCATATCAGGGGAAAGCTCATAGCCAATGACGAATGGAAGATTAGCCTACGGAGCACGTATGATGATACTTATTCAAACTTATGGGGGCTGCACTTTCTGGAAGATAATGTCGTCGAGGCACTTTTAACTGCTGATCGTGGACGTGCACAAGCTCTAAACGATCTTCTGGAGTTCAAGTATGGGTTTAAAGGGTTACTTCCAGAAATAGGAACACTCTCTGCAACAACCCCTGACATTCTTAGTTACCTACCATCAAATACAGCTTTCATAGGTATCAACGATGAAGGAATAGTTCTCTGGGTGAACGAGGAAGGAAAAGAAATAAAAACTAGAAGAAGCCAGATCGATGTCTCCGTCACAACCTATTTTCAATCTCTTTTGGAAACTACACGTAAAGAAATAGGTGTGAGAGCTGATGTTAATTGTGAAGATCGCTCATTAAAAAACCCAAGCGATAAAAAGTTAGCGGAAGAAAGATCCAGTAACCCAAGGTCTCATTCCTCATGTTTTGAGACAAAGTCATTACAAACATTTTACAATGTTGTTATAGACCCTATAAGAGACTTACTGCATAGCGATGAGGTTGTGATTGTGCCCCAAGGACCTCTGTGTTTGGCGCCTTATGCTGCTTTCATGGACTTGAAATCAAAGTACCTCTGCGAAACTTTTAAAATTCGTCTGCTTCCTTCCCTTTCTAGTCTGCGATTAATCCAAAATTGTCCAGCAGATTGCCACAGCAAGACTGGCGCTCTTCTTGTCGGCGATCCGTGGGTACAGGAGGTAGTGTATGAAGGAATGACGCTGGAGCAGTTAGAGTGGGCCGAAAAAGAAGTGCAGATGATTGGGGAAATAATTCAAACTGAACCTCTCGTTGGAAAGCAGGCAACAAAAGATGACGTTTTGAGACGTATCTCCTCGGTTGCTTTGGTGCACATTGCTGCTCACGGTAAAATGGAAACAGGAGAAATTGCTTTGGCCCCTAACATAACACGTTCATCCGTGAATCCAGCCAGGGAAGACTATCTCTTGACTATGAAAGATGTTTTAAAGGCGCAGATTAGGGCAAGACTTGTTGTACTTAGTTGCTGTCATAGTGCTCGGGGAGAAGTCAAATCTGAGGGTGTGGTCGGCATCGCACGGGCATTTTTGGGTGCCGGTGCTCGTTCTGTTCTGGTGTCCCTGTGGGCGATTGACGACGAAGCCACTATGGAGTTCATGAAACTTTTCTACCAACTCCTAGTTCATGGACGAAGTGCCAGTGAGGCCTTGAATAAAGCCATGAAATCCATGAGAGAATCTGACCGCTTTAGTGCAGTGAAGTACTGGGCGCCGTTTGTTCTCATTGGTGATGACGTAACGCTTGACTTTGAGGGCATCAAATAAATGGCAAGGTATTTTGCGATGAATTTAAACCTGACATCATATTTCCTGATTTTGAAAACGTTATTTTAACTAGCAATTGTTTTGTCGTTTTATAGGGCAACGAACTCAACCGGTGCCAATTAGCATCATGATCTGCCACTCACAGGTCAAGTTGACCCAAAAGCCTCTGAATTTGGCGATTTTTAGGCAGTCAAACACGTGAACATTTCTTTCAAGTCTATTGATTTCTTAACATTTCCAGGAGCCCATAACACGGAGCGAGCAACTCCCTTGTGCCAATAATTATAAAGCAGCATTTTCACAGATCAGTTTATTTTGAGATCGCTTTTCCCGCGAATTGTGAAGAGACCTTGTCACGGTTTTCGACGCCATCTTGACGAGTAGGCAAACGTGCGAAAAATTACAGTGTTTGTTTGACAATCTAATGTCGAATGATTTCCGTAAAACGGCTGTTCTGAAAAAAATATGACTTGTAACTAAAGCTACAAAACAAAGGATTGTATTGAAAAATTTTTTTGGGCGCACCTGTGCTTAAATTTCTCCGGAGGCTTGCTTCAGATTTTCCATATATTGGTCTCTAATTTTCTCGGGACTTTCTTACAGACAAATGTATAAAAAATTTTAAAAAGTGGTTCTAGGTCTTCTAGCGCATCTAACGCCCCCAATGTTTTTCAGTAGATTCCTTAGGAGTGAAGCTTTAGTTAACAATTCATATTTTTTTTCAGAACCGCCATTCTACGGAAATTATTCGACATTAGATTCTCATACAAAAACTGTAATTTCTCACGCGTTTGCCCACTCGTCAAGATGGCGTCGAAAACCGTGACAAGGTCTATTTTAATTAAATAAGTCTTAACAAGAGACTATAAAGGGGACAGAGAGGGCATCCCCCATATACACCCTATTCCATAGGTAATTCGTCTCGAGTTATTTTTAGATTCGGGATAAAGTTACCTCGCGCGAGGCGTGGATGTTTCGTGGAGGTTTCGCATGACCAAACGCCGTGCAAAACATGTCGGGCGAGAGGCAATGAAAGCTTAAAAAGATCGAGAGCATTCCTGAATATTGAAGTGAAATGAGTCGGCGCTCACCTGGGAAAAAGGAATCGCTGGACTCTTTGACAACCCGTGAAATCAGTTTAACCTCAGTGCTTTAATAAAATGAGAAATTTTGCCGGTCTATTGAAACCGGTCGTTTGTACAATTTAGGGAGTTTAAGATCCAGCGACGCGGACGACAACTAGAACGTCAAAAAGACAATAGGTTTAATTAGCAAAACAACAACTTCGCACGTGCAACACACTTTTTTGTTCATTTCTTTCCCGTTTTTGCACGACTACGACGTGAAAATGCCTAATTTCGCGTTTTATGGAGGAAGTAAATAAGCAGCGACGAAATTTTATTTCTCTTTCTGAGCATGAATATGGTCCCTTGAAATTCAGCTTTAGGAGGGTTCGCCTACAATTGACAAAGTAAGTGGGTAGGAATAATCGCTATAAAGACTGAAAAAAATAAACATCAAACCAGAAATTACTCTCTTCAAACTGTAAATTATAAACGATCCTGAGAGAATATTCAGTGTGTTCAGGATTTCCCTGCTCTACTGTTAGCTCTATGCAAGAGAGGAAGGGCGATTCTTTTTTAATTTCGGTTTCGCTGACACAGCTTTCGCAGAACTCTCGCTGTAGTCGTTTTCGTCGACAAAAGGAATAGCAAAATCGCTCTCCGCGTCTTCCCCCATTTTGTTCTGCGTCATTTCGTGAAGGACGCGTGGCTCTCAGCGTGGGTCATCCACGCGGAACACATTCGCGCTATGTGATTGGCTGTTGTCTAATCCCCCTTGGGATCTGTGGTGTTAAAAATAACTCGAGACGAATTACCTATGGAATAGGGTGTATATGGGGGATGCCCTCTCTGTCCCCTTTATAGTCTCTCGGTCTTAAAAAAAAGTCATCAAAAACTAAAAAATAGTATTTCTGATGTTTTGAAATCATTTGCTTCTTCTTAGACTGCGATCGCGCGAGCAGTCTCTTATTTTTCTTTGCAAAGTTACTGCCCGCGAAACCTAAGCACGCGAGCGGAGAAGCCACGAGCCGTGAGATTCGAGGACGTAAGCCCGTCTCAATCCGTTATAAATCACGTCGTGGTTTGCAATCGCGCTGGATGAGATAAGAACTAGACAGATTTTACGACAAAAGGCGGACTGCAAGCAGTCTAACTTCTTCTTTTTGTAATTATCGTATTATGGATGCGAACGCATATGGGGTTGTGTCTCCATTTTTGCGGGAAAGAGTGCTCAAAATGATTCTAAAAATAACTTGATAGGTGAACGAAAATAAGTAAAATAACGTAGACGAAAACCAAGGATTAGATTAGAATACAATCCACAAAACGCTCACACAGTGAACCAGATGGTGCCGAAATTACACACTTCTCAAATCTTCATAGGCCGTGCACATGAACTAAAGTATCATGGATATGTGTTTTGCTTGAATAACTAACCAACAAGCAAATTGCTCTAGTTTATCGGAGTATGTCTTTTTTCAAAAGCAGAAAAAACTATTACGTACCTGAAAATTGCAAGAATTCAAAGACCACTCAACTCAGAATGCATCAACAACACAACCGTTGAATTCACCTTTGGCAGATCTTTCTCTGCGTTACTTCACATGTTGCTCTGACGTTCCTGTACGAATAACGCGTGGTCGTATGGGATAAATATAAGGGAACAAAATAATTGCGGCGCAAAAGCGTTGTGAATACCGATTTTTCTTTTAAGGTCCAAGATACCATTATTGGTGACGTCATCATATTTCAGAAATGTATATCTCCCGGACTGGGGCTAAACATGGTAGTTGCACTCTTCAAGTTATGGACTTTTAACATTTTAAAGTGTTACTTAACCCGGTTGATTTCGTTCCATTGAAACTTACAGTGAAACCTGACGTAAGCGACCACCCTAAATGGCAAGATGAAATTTCCTGCCGCTTACGGAAGGTGGTCGCTTAGGAGAGTATTAGGACAGTACTTACCTATATGGGAAAACCGGAAATTTCGGTGGAAAATCAAGTGGTCCACGCCACTCCGTTTGGGAAACTTTAAAAAATATGGACTGTGATTAAGGCGATGCAATGTTTGAACTTTTTTAAGCCTGTTTACAGTAGCTGATTTGAATATACAGTCAACTCTGCCTAGTACGGACACGTCTGGCACCGGCGTTATGTGTTCGTCTCAGAGAGATTTTAGGTTTTGGTGGTGCGAGACCTTACCTTTCTTCCCCACCCCCTCCCCGCTCTTTTACTCGCGCCATTTTCCACGACGGGCTCTCGTTTCTCGTTCTTTACTCCGAAACTGCAGGGAAACGCTTGCTAGGAAGGTTAGTTGCCCATTGCTCTAAGAGATTTTTAAGTACGTCTCCAAAATATTGTATTTACTGTCAACTCCCTTAATACGGACAATTTTTCGGCCGGCATTAAGTGTTCATCTTAGAGAGATGTCCGTCTTCTAGAGAGTCAAGTAACTGAGGCAGTAAAGAAAGGTAGGGGCCAACTGTAGGTGTCCGTTAAGGGTTTTACAGAGGCGTCCGTCGTATAGACTGTACAGGCAGAAATCATTATCCTTTACTTCTGCTAGTTTTCTAACGTTATTTGCTGTTTGTATTGTACAGGTGCAGCGCGCAGTAAAGCAGTTCCTATTTATCTGAAGCTGAACTCAGTTTCCTTGGGTCACAAAGAAGTGGAGCGTTCATCTCAAGGTTGGAAGAGCTTTAGATTCCAAGACCCCGAGGACGACAACGAGAACGAGATTTTCCCAATACTAAGTAGTAATAACAATAAGTTAAATGTTTTCGTAGTGCAAAGATTAGTGTAATTTCCATAGCTTATTTTAAGACTAGTCGTCTGCACATTTTGTGCACTTCAAACTTGTTCAATAGTCACCTGAAGAACATCAGGAATCAGTAGTAAATTTTTATTCCCATTGCTATACCAACTTATACCATATGTGACAGAGGCACTTTAGATGTGCCTATTGGCAATTTAATATAGTTTTTACGCTTTTATTATTTACATAGTTGTAGTATTTTTCTATTGTCAGATTGTTTAAAGTTACTGTCTAGAAAGGCCTCCATTCTAATACTGGAGTCAGATTCCCCAATGTATTCAGTTACTAGCTTGAATCAATTTTTAAAAGGTATTGTAGTTTTACATTTACTCGTCTTTTTGATATGCGTAGGATTGCTATTTCATAGCCGAGGATTATTCGCGTACCTTGTTTTTACCATCAGAGAGATTTAGATTCTAAGATGAGGACGCGCGAGAGCGAGATTTTCCCAATTCTATGTAGTTCGCGCGCGCGCGAACCAACGTTATTTTGGCGGGAAAATGTGATAGCCATCGTCATTCTACTCCGAGTTTTAGCCCGAATGCCATTTATGAGCGATCGGGAGAGGGCTTCAACTCCTTCAACGGAAATAAGCGTTGTAACTTTTGTGGTGAAAAAAGTACAATGAAGCTTTCCGAGTGTCTATTTCTAGAGAATAGGCAAGGAAAATTAACATGAAATATGAACTTTAATTAAGTGTCAATTTGTTTAGCTAATTGGGGACAATAATAATAAGCTAAATCTTTTCGTAGTCCAAAGATAAATTTTCGAAGCTTATTCTACGACTAGTCATGTGCACAGCTTGTGCACTTGCAAGTTTCAGTTGAATAGTTACCGTGAAGAACATCAGGAATCAGTAGTAAATTTATATTACCGTTGTTATACCATATTTGAAAGAGGCACTTTAGACGTGGCTATTGCCAATTTGATTTAGTTTTTTACGCTTTTATTTACATAGTTGTAGTTTTTAAATTGTTTAAAGTTACTGCCGAGAAAGGTCTCCATTCTAATACTGGAGTCAGATTCCCCAATGTATTCAGTTACTAGGTTGAATCAGTTTTTAAAATATGTTGCAGTTTTACATTTAATCGTCTTTTTGATATGCATAGGATTGCTTTT